TATATATTCAGTGTAGTTTAACATCTTTAATACAATCGATCATATACTCTTTGGCTATTAATAGCAAGATTATTAGTATAGGCATAGTATTTTATTTGAAAAGCAGCATAGAAAAATTATTTAACAATATGAATACCATCTTTTTTTTTATGCATTAGGTACTGTAACTAAATGCAAGAAATTTATTATTAGGAAATCTCTGTTCATGGGTATATATATCCCAAAGATCAAGTTAGATATGAGCATTATGGATTTATATTAATAGACAGATCAAGATAATGATAATGTCAGCTAGAACTGTACTAGGACGATATGACATTGACGACCAAATTATAATCCAAGAATGATGATAAACGATGCGGTGTTTTCGGTGCTTGATCAATAAGAATTAAATAAATGATCAGTATATAGTATAAAAACTTCACTTGGTTTTTATTTTTCTCCTGAATAAATCGCTAATTAGACATATATTGAAATAAACTTTCCTACATCAAAGAATTTGTCAAGATCTTTTTATTCTTGCTTAAACTGATTCCAATATTCTTTTAGTAGATCTAATTACTGTTGATGATAACTCTTATCGAACTGTCCCTATTTATCATCAATGATCATTCTTGAAATCCTTAAGAGAAGCAGATGTTGTAATTCGAAGTTAAAAATTATTAACAAAATGATTTAAGATTCAATAAGATAATCTCTATGAAATAATCCGACAAAAAAATTTCTTTTTGTAAGAATCAACTATTGCCACGTAATTGTTTTAATGAACCTATTGACAAAGATCTGACACCTGCACTTCATATTATTACCAATGATATATCAACTTTTTTCTTTATTTGATAGATTTTAAGCAGTTGCTGATAAACACGCAACAGATACGAATCATTTCTTATCAAACTAAACATAATTTCTGTTCGATGTCACATCTCAAAGTATGTTGAGAATATTTTTAAAATCGAAGATTAACAAAATACGATTATCAGCTGGCTGTTATACTAAAATGTATAAGTCATTTATCTTTTTCATACTTGACTACAGCCTGTCCACAGGTAACGCACTCACCTATTTTTGACCTTCCAATCTCCATAACTCAAGAGTCATATGTAGTAAAGACCTGAAACTTATAGTGCTAAGAGATAGTTGGAAGATCTATCTCTGCTAAAAGTTTGACTTCATTTGATTTTACTATCATGGTTTTAGAGGTTCAGGAAACCGTGGTAACGCACTCATTTAAAAGGCCCCTTGTCATTACCCCCATGCGAAAGAATATTATATTGCTACGAATTTTTGTGTGTTAAAAAAAATATTGTCACATGAATTTGTAGGTAAGACGATGGGCTTGATAATCATGGCATCTGCTTTTTGAAAGCTTATTTCTATAAAGAGTTATTACTAAAGGATTTCGGTAACGCACTCAGCAGTTGGTAACGCACTCAGCAGGATTTTTTAAGAATTTTTTAGATTCAATGTTTATGCACCAAAGCTTTGTTTAAACGATTTATAAATAACTCAGAATGAATGTTATAATGAAATTCATTTATTTCTTATAAAAAAGTACACACTTTTCCTTATAATAATATGATACAAAAAAACGCTTTTTTGTCATAATAATATAACGAGTGGGCCAGAAGTGCTGACTCGATTTGTATAATCAATTTTTCTTTAGTAAAAGGATGGTCGGAAATTTGTCTCTATGAAGAAAAGATGCAGTAAAAGGCGCTCTACAAAATGACTATTGATTGACCTCGCTAGCTCATCTACTAAGGAAGTTATAGGCTTAGAAATATACTTCACAAAAAAGAAAAATTAACCGTGAGCCCGGTGTGCATAGTTATGATTCCAGTAAAAGTCCCATAACTTCATCAAAACGAAAGGTTTTTCGATCGGATTTGTTGTGTTTTGATCAGAAGTGATTACTCTCTTAACTTACCTACAAGATCAAAACTTTGATCACAGTTTTCATTTCTTGCTGGGTACACCGTCGGAAACGGGCTTGTCGATTTTTGACGTATTTTTGAAACTTGGTTTTCACGCACTCCATCGGCGCTAAAAAAGTATCTTCTAAAGCCCGGGAGAAAGAGCACATTTGAAAGTACCAAACACAAACAGAGTTCTCACGTTTGCTATGCTTTTTTATGGAAATAATAGGAGAGTAAAAAGTTTAAGTCGAAAAAAATACCAAATTTAAAAAGTTTTCGTTTTTTTCGCGTGCGTATAATTTGCTTAGTTTCCTTGATTGAAGTTCTGAAATTAAGGTTTAGGTATAATTTTGTAGAGAATTTCACGGACCTTCTATTGATAAAAGAATTTGTTGTAGAGGACCTAAGGAACAGAAGTTAAAGTATAAATACCGAAACCGAGTTCACGGTTAATTTTTCTTTTTTGTGAAGTATATTTCTAAGCCTATAACTTTCTTATTAGATGAGCTAGTGGGGCTAATCAATAGTCGTTTTATAGAGTGTCTTTTGCTGCATCTTTTCTACATAGAGACCAATTTTCAACCACGCGTTTTACTAAAGAAAAATTTATTATACAAATCGAGTCAGCACTTCTGGCCCACGCTTTATAGAGAAATTATTGATTCAAGCTAATAGATTTGTAATTAAGAAAATCACGACAATTTTCTTAAGATGTTGTGAATTTAATTAACTAGGTTTAGCTAGTGTATAGACAAAGATAAGTATATTGACTAGACACAAACACTTATACCGTTGATTTACACCAAAAGCGAGGTGTATATAGGGAGATGAACAAGACGTCGGACGTGAATATGGTCGAAAGTTAGAAAAAATAACTCATGAGTAAGAGAGAGGAGAGATAAAAATATCTCGTCAAGAAAGAAAAAGAAAAATAGCGATCGTATATCGTAACAGTCAGAACAAATACATTATGTGGAAAAACACAAAAAAAAAGAATTTGACTAAACCATTCACAGAGAAAACAATATAAGAATGAAGAGGTGCATGTAGTGATGAGTAAATAAAACAAATCTAAACATTTAGTTTCAATTTTATAAATAATCTGAAGGAAAAATATAATCGATACAGTCTAATTAAGGGTTAGACGTACAAAGGTCACATGAGTGCGTTACCATTCATTTTCCTGAAGGATGTGATTTTAAAAAATTCTTAACAGTGCATATTATAGTCTATCAAAAGTTACGTAATAATAGATAGTTCTGTCTAAAAATGTCTCCTGTACAAGGGCAAGAAATATAAAAAATCCTCTAAATGGTAACGCACTCATGCCTCTTTTGGTGAAGTTTTATGAGGTGATCTTTTGAAACTAACGAGGGAACTACCCGAGGTGCTAAAAAGCTTTTGAGCTGAAATTTTGTCTACAAGTAGGGAATGCATAGACTAGAAAAAGCCTAAGAGGATATGTCCCCAAGTTGAGATTTGGCTGAGATATCGGCTTTTTACTATAGTTTTTCTATGTGGCCCCATTTTTTCCATTAAGTCAAAGTTTCGAATTTTGACGTGAAACTTTGCTCATATCAAGACCTCAACTAGAGTAGCTCATCTACAAAGTTTCAGAATTTTTGGACTAAGCATTCTCGAGAAATGAGTCTGTTAGCATCAACACAGTTTTTTACGGATATTTTTATATACATGGATATTTTGAAAACGTTATATCTCGGAAATACTTAGTCCGAAAACTCTGAAACTTTGTAGATGAGCTACTCTAGTTGAGGTCTTGATATGGACAAAGTTTCACGTCAAAATTCGAAACTTTGACTTAATGGAAAAAATGGGGTCACATAGAAAAACTATAGTAAAAAGCCGATATCTCAGCCAAATCTCAACTTGGGGACATATCCTCTTAGGCTTTTTCTAGTCTATGCATTCCCTACTTGTGGACAAAATTTCAGCTCAAAAGCTTTTTAGCACCTCGGGTAGTTCCCTCGTAAGAAAGAGAAGAATATTTTATCAGATAGTCTAGAATAAAGCCCATCTATTAGTGATTCTTTCTATACCAAAGCTCTCTCATATAACGCTTTAGAATGTCTGCTGAAGCCCTTGTTCTTTGTACCATTAAAACGCACAATAATAAAGTTAATTTATAATCAATGTTTTGAAGCTCTGTTCTTTCACCAAATAGAGTGAATGAAAAAACACGACTCATATCCTTATACAGTTAAGTGTGCTCAACAAACTAATCATCTTTAAATTTGAAAAATTTAAACTTCAACTTTAGCCAGGCTGGGTCGCCGTTAGCTGGACAAGCTGATATAATAAAATAATTCTTTTCGATATTTATTTAATATTATATTATCAATAAATAAACTTTTATATAAATTAAATAAATCATATAAATATGATTATTTCCTATTCATTTGAAAATATTTCTTCAATAAAGATTTATTTAAATAAATATTCTCTAATCGTTTCGAATTATTTTCTTTTCATTGATATCTTAGATAGAAAATGAATAATTATTCAATTTATAAATAATCAAGAAAAAAAATCTTATTTTATCTATATTTATATATGATATATCTTATCTATTTAAATCAATAATTAATTATTAAATTTCGATTGGTTAATAAATTATTTTCATTTAATAAAGATAATAAATAATATCCTAAGTAAACTTGATCAATTTGAATAAAATTAAGTTCGAAAAAAAAAATTCTTCAACTAATTCTCTCCTATTCATATCTAATTATTATTTAAAAAGTGTTATTATATTGAGTTAAATCGAATAGATATTTTATTCAGTTAAATGAGATAACAATCGAGAAAAAAAACTGAAACTATTATTGATTTAACGATTGATTCGTTTCCATAAAAGCAAAAAAGTTTGCTAAAATCAAATGAATTTTATTATTTTATCTGATTGATAAATATAATAAATAATAATAAATATTTTTTTTTTAATAAAAATTTTGAATAAAATATTCTTTATATAAAATCTAAATGATTGATTGAGATAATAAAAAAAAGTGAGGTTATATATAATAAAGAAAAAAAAGGTTGGTAGAAATATTTATTCGATCTTATTTATTGAAAATGATCTTTGAATTATTGTTATTATTATTTATTTCTATTCCAAAAAATATATTTGGAATATATTGTATTTATTCGGAAGAATCATTTCAATGGTCATTCGACGAATTTGATTATGATAAATTAAAAGATAAAATCGATCATTTTCCAGTATATGATTATAATGATGATAATATTGATATGTGTAGAGTTGAAATCTATATTGATTATCAATATAGATCAATTTTAATTAGTTTTGGAGATTCATTTCAATGGAGTCAACTTGATAATGGTGAAGCACGTTTAGATTTTTTAATTATATTTAATAATAATAATATTCAAGTTGAATATTATAATGTATTAGAATATGCTTGTTATGATAAAGATCAATGTAATAAATTATTTGTTTATCATCATATTAATTGGCTTAAACAAATTGATTATACACTATTTCAAACACATTTAAGATCAATACTTTTTTATAACTCAAATCAAACAGGTCAACATTTTATATTTATTTATTCTCTTTGATAGAGCCTTTTTTTTTAAAATCGATTTTATCTTATATTAATAGATATATTCAGATATAATATATTTATTCGAGAATCGAACTATATTCACAAATAGATATAATTAGTATAGAATATAGATAACAAATTTTGCTTTTTTTTTTTTATTAACATTTTCAACTTCATTCGTTTTTTTTTCATTATTTATTAAGAAGATTTTTTTTGTTAAAATAAAACGTTGAAAGATTTTATAAAATAATATATAAATCGATTTGTTTATAGAATTTCGATATATAAATAGTTAGATATTCTAATGAGAGTTAAAGAGTTAAATATTATCTATTTCTATAACTAGATTAATCATAATTATTATAAATTATTTTATTTATTATTTATTTGTTTAAATTAAAGATTAAATATAAATATATCTATCAATAGTCAAAATCACTGACCAACAGTTTTATTGAAATTTTCGAAGAATTTTTTCTAGCTTTTTATTTTAAAAAATCTTATTTTAAAATTCTACTAATTTATCAATAAAGAGACCAATCAATAGGTTTTATATTATTTTATATTAAACAACTATTAAACATAACAAAAGAGATAAAACAAACGATTTTCAGTCGAGTTTTTGATCAATCTCATTTTTAATAATGTTTACAAGTTTTTAAAGGAAAAATTGTCAATAGAATCTTTTTTCAACTAGAAATATTTATATAATGAGATTATAAAAAGAAAAAAGATCTTATAAAGACTTGTAAAATAAAAAAAAAACTCCTTTCTTGTTTTATTTGGAAAAGTTGAACTCGTCAGTAGTCTTATCAATAGAATCTTAATTGACTATTTATATAAATGAGTAGTTTATTGGGTTATCCAACTTATTCTTTCGATTCGAATTAAACATAGACTATTAAAAAATAACTAAAAAATCAAATAATAATAAAGAGTATTCAAAAATAAAACAACTCAATATAGATAAACGGTTGACTGTCCTCAACCATATTTTCAAACTTATTTTATTTGTGTTTTTTAACTATTTACAATTTATTTTCATATAGATTTTTATTAAATTAACTGAAACAAATATAATGATTATAGATAAGAATAGGAGGAGGATATAGTTAAATAATTCTATAGAATATTTTTAAGATAGATATTTGACTATAATTATCATTTATTTAATAATGATTGAATAAATAATCTATTATAAATATAATTGGTCGAAATAAATTTCAAGTTATATACTTGAAATCGTCTATTGATTGAAAGTTGAATATAGATATATTATTTAAATCTATCCTTAGTAAATAGTCTAAAAGAAAAATTAAAGAATAAATTATTTATCGAATATATTCTTATATAATGTATTCATAAATAAAATAATCGAATCGTTTTTATCTATTTAATTCTATATATTATTTTACTTCGAATTAATTATATAAATAATTAAAAAGAGTATATTTTTATATTCTTGATTTTAAAATATTATTTCCAAATATAAATATGAATTATATTTATTTCAATAAAAAAAAAAAAATAATTTATTTTAGAATATTGTTTTATTGACAAAGTTAAATTATTAAAATGTGAAACAAATATTTGTTCTGGAAAATATTCAAGTTATCATAAAAATTATTTATTTGAATGTCATGAAAATTCTGAATCATTAGTTGAAGTTCATATAACAACTGATATGAAATTAATTGAAGAAAATATATTAAATAAAAATAAAATTTATATATTAGAACATAAAATAATTCGATATACTTGTATGTTTAATAAATGTAATGATCAATATTTAACTGATAAATTAATTAATATTGTTGAAGAATATTTTCAATTATCATTAATGAGAGATGCTTTTTTTAATTATTCTTTTATCAATAAACAAGAATTTTATTTATTTCATTATTCGAATTTATCTTATCAAACAACATCGAATACAGATAAAAGAGAATATTTACCATCAATATCAATCATAAATGATTATTTATTTAATAATTTATCGAATAATAAATCTCATTTATCAATATTTATTATATTAACATTATTATATTTAAATATAATCGATCATTTATTTAAACAAATCTAAAACATCACTTCTTTTTTTGACATTTTTTATATTATTAAATCAACATTTCAAATTTTACAATTAATATATTCAATATTTTTCATTCTCAGACAATATTAAATCAATATTTTAAAAAAAAACCTCATTTATTTATTTGAATTTTTTCGAAATAAAATATCTCTATCAACTTATCTATAGATTAAACAATTTTCTTCTATCATTTTTTTTTCAACATTCTTATTCTTATTTCAACTAAAAATTGACAATTCATCGTCACAAACCAAGATCTTACGGGATATTTCATTTTAGAATTTATCCACAAATAAATTCTTGACGACTGTGCATTTTATTTTGACTATTTCCAACTTCCTTTACTTAAATATATCTCTGATTGTGTCAAACAGTTCTCATACTATCATAGATATAAAAGGTCTTAAGATGATCATCATTAACATATGAGAAGATCTGATAAGAAAAAACTTCTCGGATTTCAATAATATCTATAAAGAATTGTCGGTTATACTATATGACCACTTCTATTTCGAGTAGATATCTAATTCGACTTTGAAAATAAATGAAAAAATCAAATAAAAAGAAAAGACCATCCATTTTCTGACAGCACAAAAGTAAAAGAAAAAATATTCTAGCTCACTTTTTTATCATATTTAGAAAAACCAAAAGAAAAATCTTCTATAGATTATTATTTAGAAATTCGAAGTCACACTCATCTCACTGCTCTAAAACTTCAAACTTCAATTCAACTGACATTACTACTTTCAAGATTAAATCCTTCCTCAAATCTTACAACTATTTCCTGGAATCCTAGAGTTATTATCTAGTATGATACATATATCATCTCCGAACCTATGTCTATCACCTCAGATACTATAAATATTACCTCGGATACTACAGATATTAACGATAATCTTACAGATGTTAGCTCAAGTACTACAAGTATTCTCTGAAATCCTATAGATGTTACTTGGGATGGCACAGGTACTATCTCCAATTCTAGAACTATTACCATGGATGCTACACACATTACCTTGAATGGTACAGAAAGCACCTAAGATGCTTCAGTTTTAATGGTAAGGTAGCATCTATAAACGAAGGGTTTGCATGATCAAGCAGTTCCAGAAAAGATGCTGCTAGCATATAGAAAAACATGACGCACTTCGATTGGTATGTATACAGAGATGCACATGAATCGCGGCTCTTCGGGGGCGATTCGCGCCTTCACGTCGTGACGCTAATATGAATAGTCAGTTAGGCGGGGAAAAGCGGTTACCTCTCGATGAATATCGAGAGAATTATTGAATAGTTGAATTCAACTTTTAGATTTGACACGTGTAGCATCGAGGGAGACGTGATATGAGCTCATTCGCAGTATTCACATCGAGAGCGATGCGGAATGTCCTTTTGTGATTGAAGCTTGAAATTTGAAAGTTAGAATTTCATTTGAATTCAAGTTTCAAATTTAACATATATAACTCATGTTGAAATAGCAAAAAAGTAAAAGTAAAAATTTGTATAAATTATTATTATTATTATTATTATTTCGATTTTGATTTCGTTCATCACTGTATACATGGAGACAAGCATCGGTCGCGGCTCTTCGGTCAATGCGAAGCGCTCCACGTGGCGACCCTGAGATAAAAGATCAGTTACGCGGGAAAAGCTGGTTTTGACAGCTGTATACTAGTTGTGTCACACTAGAATTAGCTAAAGTATAATTCAGATCAGAGTCAGGAAATTGAAAGATGTTACCGTGAGGTTAAGATTATTTTTCATTCTAAGACATGTAATCAGTGTGTGTGTGCTTTGAAGGGCTATAAGAAAATCTTTCCTAAGATATCTCAAATGGCGACTGAACCATTCGAGATAGTTCTTGCAGCATGAGAGATGAACCTCGTCGTGTCAAATATAATGCTTTTAGTATCATAGGTGACTCTCGTAGCATATAACTTGCTACTATTAGCAGCTCTATTGATGATTGCAGAAAGTGAGGTGATGCTTCTAGGATCGCTAGTAGGAGTTATAGGAGTGCAGATGATGATTGAAGATTGAGAGAGAATAATTTAAGGATCTCACTCTTTGACTCAACGATCATCTTAGATGAGAATAGTCTGAATAAAATTCATTATTATAATTCGGAATAATTTTTTTTCGTTTGCTGTTTATTCTAGTTCGAGATGTATTGACTTTAGAATTTATAAATAATAATTTATGTTAAATTTATCTTTTGCTTTTTTTCCTATTTCAATATGGAAGTCGTTTGTTTGATTTATTTTCAAAATAATGATAAACAATTAGCTCTCAATTTATATTCGAACTCGAATAAGGTAATTCATATGTATTTCAATCGATAATCGAATATCCTTGTTTATTAACAAAATAAACATCGATGAAAAGCAATACACTGATTGATCTATGTTAGAAAGATTTATTTATTTATTTTTATCCTGAAAAATAATAAGATGATTAATAAATGAATTAACGTTTATAATAGATATTGAGCTGTTTTAATATCTTTTGTAAAAAGTATTTACTTATATTATATCGGATAGATAATTTAACATCCATAGATAATTGATCGAATCTATTATTCTAATCGTAAAGTACTAATGTTCATAGTTGATTGTTGACCAGAAATTCTATCGATGTCAATGAGACAAACCTTATTTTCATTTATTTAGTTCATTGAATAGAAACGAGTATTGCAGAAGATTGACTTGTTAGATGGATTGAGAATATTCTTAGTCACTCTTCTATTTCAAATTTTCTAAATATCACGAATAACAATCGATTTTATGCTAATAAATCTGCTGAGAAAAATCCTTAATCATTGTCAACATTCTAGAAAATGTTCCATAATACAAATTGTTGATGTTATTGTTCATCATCTTGATTTACTCTTCACTCGAGATCTAGACAATTCTAATACGATAGACGATGTGCAGTTGAATATTTATCTTTCAAATATTGAAAATTTGTCTATTGAGAATAATAATCTCGACTGTCAAATATGATAGACCTTTATTTAATAGTGAGAATATTGAGAATAGATAGAATTTTACTTTCGATCTTAGACGATCTCTTGTTATTTATCAATTTTTCACAAACATATTAATAAAATATGTCTTGAACAATTTCTATTAACAATCGATTATTTTCTTGGAATATCAACAATTCTTTGTAGAATTATTCACATTTCGAGAAAATTCTTTCAAATTTAATGTCATTATCAAGAGAAACTAGAATCCTACATCTAACTCCGAAACTCGATTCCGATTCCATCGGAGTCGACATTGAAGTCGACGCAAATAATAGAAACTTCAAAAACGGTATTAAATTATTTTCTTCTCCAACATCTATCTTTCACAAATTGCAACGTCTAGTTAACAAGAACTTTTAATCGAATAACTAATATCCATTTCAGAGTTAGATGGACATGACCATTTTTCTGATAAGTTTAAACCAAATAAAGAGAAATGATTCAGATTTGGAAGACTAACAAGAGTCTATATTAGTACATATTTTAATAAAGTTCACAAAAAAAAAAACAAGTTTGTTTTCTTCTCAGATATAATATCAATTTTGAAGGCTACCTTTATCCGGTTTGAAAACAAAATGTTTTCGAAATAATAATAGAATGAGTAGATACTCTATCTCTCTCTCTCTCTCTATTCATCAGCTCAAACTCAAGATGAATAGTTATTTTATTTTAAAATATATAAACAATCTATTACATCCTACTCATCTAAATTTTTCAAAATTTAACCAGTTAACAAATAAATATCTCTTTATAGAAATGATTATCTATCTTCCAGTTCAAGAGATGATTCAATAATCTTTTTGAGTTTGTTTTCCTATAAAGAAGATCATCAGAATCGATGTATTCATTTTACTTTATGACAAGGAATTAATATATCAGAAAACTCTGTTCGACCTTTATTTTATTGATAGTTTTATCCCAAAACCGCTGTGAATTCGAATCGATCGATAAAAAATAGATTCAAAGATTTTAACGTAAATTGATGATAAAAAGTGATCTATCATCCGCATCATTTGTACTGTAAGTACTATAATCGTGATCATTGGAATCATAAACTTTTTCCTGCAATATTTTTGTTACAAATGTTGCTTCTTTTAAATTTTATCTGATATTATTTGATATAATTGATATGTAGCTGATTATGTCCCCTCCATTCTAGCCATATATTCATTTTTCTGCTACTTTGCTCACTTTCGACAAAGTACATTCTGTGTTTCCATCACGAGCACAGGTTCTCATCTCAGTCCAGGCTAATTCAATAGAATTCAGTATCCAATGTCTCATTGGTAAACATAGAAAATTTCTATAAAGAGATATTTATTTGTTAACTGGTTAAATTTTGAAAAATTTTCATGTGTAGGATGTAATAGATTGTTTATATATTTTGAAATAAAACAACTATTGATATTGAGTTTGAGCTGATGAATAGAGAGAGAGGTAGACTATCTACTTATTCTATTATTATTTCGAAAGAATATTATTTTCAAACCAGATAAAGGTTGTCTTCAAAATTGATGTTATATCTGAGAAGAAAACAAACTAGATTTTTTTGTGAACTTTATAAAAATATGTACTAATATAGACTCTAGTTAGTCTTGCAAATCCGAATCATTTCTCATTTGGTTTAAAGTTATCAGAAAAATGGTCATGTCCATCTAACTCTGAAATGGATATTAAGTAAAATAAAATAGAAAAATCCATAAAAAATGCCGATAAGATCAAGTTTTACAAGTGATTATTGCGAAAAAAACTCTGATCACCATTGAAGATATTAACTTTGGTGATTAGATATATTTTCATCTTGATGAGATGTTTTTTAAAACTACTCTGTTTCATTGAATGTCCTGACATAATTCAAACTGGATGAAAAGTTTATATTTTCATTGGGATCGTTCTTGGCCCGATATAATTCTTTCAATAAAACTAAATTTCTTTTTTAAGAAACATCAGTTGATGAAACTTTTCACCAGGAAAATTTGTTCTAGGGTGGCTATCCGACATGATTTTTTCGATGATGATAAAAGACATTCAATCATGATGTTTCAAGCCGATATTAGAAAGATTCTCATATCAATTGAAGATAACCTTAGAAATAAAATCTGTAGTTTATGGAAAAAATTCCGAAGGGCAGTATGTTCATTATTATTATTAAAAAAGTGTAAATCTTGATTTAAATGCATAAAAAAAAATATCGGAGTCGAAGTTAAAAAAAGGTGAATCTGAAGGTGTTTAGTTTTGATAAGTATTTATCAAGATAATAAATATAAAATAAAAGTAGTGAGTGTCCTTGATGAAGAGAAGAAAAAATGATTTTATTAGATTTAAACTGTAAAAGATAAATAAAATCTAGTCGAACTGAAATAAAAGATAAAGAAATGAATTTTATTCGAGAGAATTTTATTGTTTTAACTAAAAATGTTGTGCATTTTTATTCTTTATAATAAATGAAAAGAAAAAGTTTTTGATTATTTAAAAAAAGCTAAATTGAATAATTAAATCTAATGATATTGAAATAAATCGATAATAATTAAAATGAAATTATTTTTTTTTTAAAGCAGTTGGTCTTGTTGGTCGACTATCTTCAACAGCTCGTGATAATTCACTTATTCTAATATCTTTTAGTTGAAGAACATGTTCAAGTCGACGAATTTTTGCATGAAGAACTTCAATATCTTCTTGTTGTTGTAAACATTCTTGTTTTATTTCTTCATAATCAAGACGAGATATATCTTTATGTATTGATAAATTTGTTAATTTTATTGATTTTATTGATTTATTTGATCGATTTGTTAATAAATTTGTTTGATTTGTTTTTGTTGTTGATGTTATATATGAAAGAGAAGATTGACGTGGTGTTGTTATTTGTTGTTGTTGAAGTTTTTGTTGTAATTCTAATTCTTCATCAATTTTAAGTCTTAAATTAAAGAGAAGAACTTCAATAAGACCTGGTTTACCATTTGAAAGACCATTTATAATAACATCTGGTAGATCAAGACCAAAATTTGATAAAACTTTTTTATTTAATATACCCCAATTTGCTTTTTTTTGTTGTAATGAATTAGCTGGTGTATAATTATGCATTTCAATTAAATCAGGTAAATAATAACGAATTATTTCAGCAATTAATATACCTTTTATTTAAAATAAAATCAATTTATTTATTTATTTATTTATTTATTTATTTAAAAATTACCATCAGAAAAATCTCGTTCAATTCTTTTTTTTGGTCTTGATAATGGAAGACTATCAATCCATATATAAAGATCTTCTAAAAGAGTTTCATCCAATTCCATTTCCCATGACATTATAACAATTTATTTTATAAATAACAACTTCGACAATTATTATTAATGATAACGCACTTTTTTCTCTTCTTTTTTTTTAAATAATAATCAAAGAAAAAAAAACACACACACGAACTATTTTTCTTATTCTTTTTCTTTTCTTCACCTATCAACAAATGATTTGCGTCAAAAAAAAAAAAGTGAACACAACAAAATAAAACTTAACAACATGGTGGAAGAGAGAATGATCGATGGCAACCTTTCACATTTATTTTAGTTGACGAGAAAAAAAAAAGTAAATATAAGTTGATGCTTTTTTCAAATCATTCTTTTCTTTTATCGAACAATTCATTTTTTCTCGATCGTTTTAAAATAAATTCTATCAGGATTTATTTTCAATATTTTATCAAATATATTTTACTCAATCATAAACAATTTTTTTTAATCTCCTTCATTTTATTTCTTTGAAAATAATTTATATGAAAATGTCGGATATCCACAAACTAACAAAACAAATAAAACTGTTAACATATATCGTCTATAATATATTCACCGAATCGGATTAGATTTTAACCACTAAAAAAAAAACGAGTAGACAGATCATATTTATAATGGTAAAGATTGTTTTAAACTAGTATTAACTAACTTCAATGATAAACTCTCAACTTTGACAAGTTATAAAAAAACTAATATTGGACTTTTCTCAACGATTTAAACTTCTAGAGTACATTCTATAATAAAACATCTATCTATAGTATAACTATCAGAGAAAACAATACTAGTATAGATAAGTTATTTTCAAAAATTCTATCTCTTTTATTCTTGGCTAATTGAATAAATATATTCACTTTTTTATAACTTCTCAAAGTTGAGAGTTTATCGTTGAAGTTAGTTAATACTAGTTTAAAACAATCTTTATCATTAGAAATATGATCTATGTCTACTCGTTAATCAGTGGTTAAAATCTAATCCGATTCGGTGAATATGTGATAGACGATATATGTTAACAGTTTTATTTCGTTTTTTTTTTAGTTTGTGAACATCCTCTATATTATTGATCAATATTAGAAATATTTTCATTCAATTATAGAATTTAACTATTAAATGAGAGTTATTTTATTATTCTCTCTCCTTCCCCAAAACAATGAAAAGGTTTATTAAAAAAACTCGAAATAAAACTCGAAATGTCTGATATAACTTCTTATTGATAAATAATGATTAATAAAAAGAAAAATCTCTCTTGTTTTATTGTTGTTTTATTGAATATATTTATATAATATCTCTGACTAAAATAGATCAATAAATAAATCTTATTTATTATCTTATCTTAAATCGATTTAAGTAAATTATAAATGATTAGTTTAAATAAATTTCATTTTTTTAAAATAATATATCGAATAAAATCATTGAAGATTTTATTTAAATATATTTATTAGAATTATTTCGTAATGATAGAGTATAGATTTATTTTATTTTCCGTTCTGTTAAAGGTGATTCAGAGAGTCTATTGGATAAATAATTCTATCGAATAGATTTTATTTTAGTTAAGAAAGTTTTTTATAAGAAAAAATTGAATATGAATATTTGATAATTCTTTATAATAAATATAGATTCGATTATTTAATTATAATTTCATCATTTTTAATAGATATTATTTAAAGAGTAATTATCTTCTAGATTAAACTGATTAAAAATTTTGTTAAATAGAAATAAATTTATTCGATTTCTATCTGATTTAAAATCTTATTAAAATATTTAAAAAAAGTCTATTATAGAAATCGATGATGAAAATCTGAATATATTCATATTCAGATATATTTTATAAAGATTTTCTTTCTCTTATATAAACGATAAATATTATTTACATTTTTATTCACTTATTTTCGTTTCATTCTCAAGATTTATTTAAGATAAAATTCTTATAAAATAAAGTAAAAGAGAATTTAAATCGATTTGAAATAAATATCTGGTCAATTTATATTAAATCTAAGATATAAATATATGTTTTACTATTATTTAATATAATCTATGATAATTATTTTAAAAATAATTTCATTTATATATAAATATTGAATTATCTAAACAAGAAAAAAGTTAAAGATTTAAATAAAGAAAAAAAATTTCTTCGAAATAGATAAATAATATATCAATATGAAATAAATTCTTTCAATTATCATTTATTTAGTGATATGTGATTATCATTATTTATTAACTAGATTTATTATTTATCTCTAATAAAGAATAAAGATTAAATTAAATCAAGACCTTTCCATTGAGAAAAACATTGAATTAAATAAATATATTGACCATTCATTTATAAAATATGTTAATTATCTATTATTTATTTATTTAAATAATAGAGATTGAAAATTATCATTTATGTCGAGGTTCGAATAGAATAGAATTATTTATGATAATTTATTTTTCTAGAGTGTGATTCTCTAGAAATCGAAATAGTTATTGATTTAATTTATCGGAATTTATTTATTCTCTATCGAATATATTAACTCTTTTATAATCGATTGAGAAGATAAATAATTGATTTTTGGTCAAAATTAACTAATAATTATAATAATCAATAATTATTTGTGGATCAGCCTTTTTTTTTCAATTGATTTAAAGTTTATAGAAAAAAAAAGTAAGTTGAAGATGATCAATAAAAAAAGTGAATGGTCATCATTTTGTTTTGAATATATATATTTATGAGTAAATTTTATTGATTTTGTTTAGAATTGAAAGATAATATTTAATGGTTAGGACGAGAATATTTTTCTTTAAAAAATTCTCATCAAACAAAATCTGATCTTGAAATGTAAAAAGGTTCGATTTATTGATTGATAAATTGACAAGGACAGAAATTCAATTGACATATTCTCTTTTACCTTAATTTACATAACTCTTCAACCGTTTTTTCTATTGGATTTTTATATAGAAAAATAATCGAAAAAAATCTTATTCTTCTTTCGATTTCGATATATAAATATAGAATTTTTTATTTTATGACAAATATCGATTATATCAATGTCAATTCAAACCTTGTTTTTTTTTTAGGAAAAAAAACCTGTCAACTATAGATTTATTTAAATATTTGATTGTTTATTAATTATAAATAAATTATTGATCAACACCCAATTTTATCATCTTGTTCCAATCATCTTCAATAGAAAGTTTATTCGTTTTTATTTATAATTGAGAAATGTTTTTATAAAATCTTCTCAAATTAGAAGAAATTTTAAATTGATAGGTGATTAATTAAAAGTTAGTTTATTTATCATATCTATACTAGTCGGCAATTTTAAAAAGTATTATAATCAATAAACGATATTTAATATGAATATATATATTGAAACATTCTATCGAAGATTATTAGAACAATATCAAACATTTTCTATATTCAAATAAATAAAATCTCTTGTTCATTTTGAAACTTTTCAAATTTGAAGAACTTTTTCGATGAATTAAATAATTTAATTTGCCCAGGACGGAACAATCGGAGAAGATTCTGCATCTGATCATATATGATCTTCTACAATTTATACCAAATGGTAGAAAAAATCTTTCTCTCTAAAATCTAAGATAAATTCTTATTCTAAGATTGTTGAGAGATCTTACAGTAAGAATTTATGTTAGATTTAAGAGACTAGAATTTAATTCGAAGATTTTATATTATCGTATAAGACTTCCTCTCAGACTTGTTCACCTGGTTCGTTTCTTTTTATTTATTTATCGATGTCAATTTAATATTGATTGAGAGATTTTATTTAAATAACTAACTATTTAAACAAATTCTTAATTATTTTCCTTTTATTATATATTTTTATCTTAATATTATTCTTGAAAACGAATTAAATAACATAAATTAATAAATAAATCTATTTTTTTTATTTTTTTTTGATAGAGATGATTTATTTAAAAAACTAAAAAATAAATCTATTATTATTATTTGAATTAAAAATAAAAGAAAAAAAAAGGTTCTGTCTTGTTGATGAACTCTTATCTAATTTGTTGTTATAAATAGTATAAATAGTAAATATATTTCAATTCTATTGATAGAGATTCTCTATTATCTTTGGTTGACTAATCAATATGAACAAGACGATTGATGTAACGATATCTATATGTTCATTGTCACGGTTCAATCGTCATTACATTTTCTTCATTCTAACCAACGAATAATAATGATAGATGAGACATATGACGAATCTATACATATGAATATAGGCAACCATTGAGAAGAACTATGTAATTGTGCAATAGAGCGTGACTGAACAACGAATAAAAAAAGGCAAAAAAAAAAAAGACGAGAGTGATCGAAATATTGCTCATTTATTCATTTAAGTTGGTGTATCTATTTGGTTTGATTGTGTCGTTCATAATAAAGACTGGCCGCTGATAATAAATCTTCGTCTCCTAGTACAGCAAGTAGTGTTGAAATATATACAGTTATGGGTTTATTCAATAGTGGAAAAAATGAAAAAGTTGAAAAAGTAAATAAATATGAACGACATTATAATGTTCCATCAAGTTCTTCACATCGTCGTTCATCAAAACATCGTTCTCATCAAGGTGATAATGGTGTTCGAGCTATGTCTCAACCACCATTAATGCGTATGGCTGCTGGTTATTATCCTCCAGCCGGTATTTTTCCTCCAGTTGTTCTTCCTCCAATGGGTTCGAATGTTATGTCTCAAGTTCGATATCCAATATCACCTTTTGATTTAAGCAAATATCCATCATCAACAACATATTCAGCTAATCCATTTGCTGCTGCTGCTGTTGCCGCTGCTGCTGCTGGTCAAATGACACCAATGAGTTTAGGAGGTGGTTGGAATAATGGAATGGCATTAATTAATAATCGATCGGCTTTTCAACAACAATTAAACGATTATCAACAAGCTGGTTGGCCTTTAAATAATGGATATATGCCACCGATGCAATTTTAAACTCTTTTCTTTTCTCTCTTTTGAACATTTATTATAGTAGATTTTCATTTAAATAAAATAACATAGTTAAACAATATTCATTCAACCTTGACGAGTGACCTCGTCTTACTTTTATTTAGAATATTTAAAACAAAACAAAACAAAAAATCGATAAAGAATATATTTAATAATAATTATTATTTTAAATTGACATCGATTTCGATTTCTAACCAAAGAAAAAAAGATTTTTTATTCTTTTATTTGTTAAATCGATATTTTATATAAAATAGATAATTTAAATATATTAAATAATAACTAAACAAAACAAACTATTTTCAATTATTATAAATCGATCGTTTTTTTTTGTTCTGATTTTATTTAATTGATCATATTTGAAAATCTTGAAAATATTTTAAATCAAATAAATAATTATTTTAAAACAAAAAAACTTTAAACAATATTATTTATTTATTTGTTAATAAGTTAATATATAATTAATTATTTTCAATATAATAGATATTTTAAATAATATTTTATATATTATATATTTATCAACAACAATTTATTTTTATTATTTTAGATTTTTAATTCGAATATATTTTTCTTTTTATTTCTTCAACAAGAGAATATCACAGAGAGAAATACGAGAAAAAAAAACAATAGGGAACAATAAGAGGAAGAATCAAGGGACAGAAAGATAATACCAGATTGAGATAGTTTATTTTCTAAATAGACGAAGATACTCAATATATCATATACGATAGATCTATAGTTAGAATCTATCAGAGAAATTATTCAATAATATCTATATGCAACATCTCATTATCAATTATTAATAAAGAAGAAAAATTCTAACCACATAATAATATAGATTATTCTATAGGTGATATATCTTTCTTACAGATATTTTTTCGATCTATCAACATTTTAAATAGATAATTCTAATAATAACGACGTTTTTCTAAATTTATTAGAATTTTCTTGTTCTAATATAAGTTCTCTAATATCTAATCATTCGACGGGAATCAATTATTATCTTCACTGATTTATAATCAATATTGTAAAGATGATTATATTATTTTTCTCTAAAAAATCAAAATAATTGAACTAACCATCTGAATATAGATAGAACATCCTATTGAACAACGGATTCTTATTTATCTTCTATATGTACTTCCTGCTATTCTAAACCAATTTACTCAATTGAGTTTCTTTTCAATCTTTGTTATAATTCTATTCAATCGAATCTTGAGTATTATCCACTAATAAAGATATTTCAATTTGTTTATCCAGTTTATTATTTTGTCTTGAAGTTAAATGTTCAAAATTTGCCTATCCTATTTCATGTCTTGACTATAGTGCTTCGATTTTATTTCGATAAATTCCTTCTATAGAAAGGATAGAATAAAATTCTAGCCAATTGATAAATGCTTTTAATTAAGGTTCGAAATCTAAAGATTATTTACTCAATCAATCGGTTATACCGTCTTCTACTACTGCAGATAAATCATCAACGAAGAAAAATCTTGTAGAAACATTGAACCGTTGGGGAAGACGATAGGAAATCGAAAATAATCTAGATATTGTTTGTTTAACTTAAATAAAAGAGGTTCTATCGATTTAAATAAGGATGTTTAGTATAGATTATCTTATTTATTTTCCGATACAATCTTCAAATTATAATTGAACGAAGAGAGATTTTAACTCAACGAATACTCTTATTACCAATCAACTGTTCGATAAGATAAATAAAAGTTGTTCAACGAAGAATAGAAGTCTAGTTAATATAAATAAGGGACGAATATATATGATAAAAACAAAAAAATCCTCTATCGAGTTAATTGATAATGACTATCGAATATAATAAATAAATAAAATAATATTTTTATTGAATAAACTCTTATCGTTAATTGAAAGTCGATTGTTGAAAAGTTGTTATCAATGATTATTTAATAAATGTCTCGAATGTTTTCGTCAAGAGATAAAAAAATAGAAAAATCTATTTGAGATATCTTTAAAATGATTGTTTTATATTTGGATGAAAAATATTCTATTAAGAATCTAAATAAATCAATTAGATATAAATTGATTCTTTATTAAAATATATAGATTTTAAATAAATATTCAAATATTGATAATTAACATAGAATTTATCAGAATTTATTCGAATATTATTTTTTTTTTTTATCTTCAACTAATAATCAGAAAAAAAGAAAAAACAAATAAAATAAATAAATGAAAAGTAAATTAAAAAAAAACGGAAAAAAATAAAAAGTGAAAAATTGAATATTGATATTCGTAATAAATAATAAATAATAAAATATATCTATAACCTTAAATAATAAATATATCACTCAATTACAACTTTTTACTATCATTTTATTTTAGTTCCATTTTTTCAATTTAT